TTTGTATTTGGTTGCATAAAATGCTTCAAGTGATAATACATACATATATATGTGTGTGTGTGTGTGTGTGTGTGTGTGTTTTATTTGCTTACTTTCATGGCTCTGCGATCCTTGACAAAGGTGGGCTGCACCTTATCCTTCAAGTAGTCGATCTTCTGTGAGAAGTAGAACTCGGGAGCCCTTGGCTCAATGCTGTACTTCTTGCAAAATGGCACCCATCTCCTTGCAAACTCTGCAGTTTCTGACAGGGTATCGAAAAGTAGCATTGATGCACCATCATCCGATACATAACAACTCACCTTATCAACTGGATAATCCACAGACAAGATTGACAGGACCGTGTTCGCAGTGATAATTGGAGGCTCCTTGAGAGGGTCAACAGAACTCACCATGAAATCAACTGGGGCTAACTTGTTGGGCTCACCTTCGCGCTCAAACCTCATGGACAGGCGATCCAGGTAGGTTTCACGGTTGATGGGGAACCATTTGGGGAACTGATCAAGTATCCAAGAAAAGCCGAACCATATCTCACATATTACAGAGATGAGCCATAAAGGGTAAGCATCATATGCCGGGGTTAAGATGCGAAAATGGAAGAAGAAGGCAAGAATGACAAGCCGGAAGATAATGACTATGCGATATGGATTGATAAGGCTGGATGAGATGGGGACTTTTCGCCACATTGGTTGGCGAGCTTCGGCCATACTGGAGGAGGACATTAAGGTGTTAATTAGTATGAGTACTGCAAATATATTCCCTATGGAAGACAAAGTCTATTTGGACTCGAAATTTTGAAGATCTGTGTGCATGATATGGATGAAATGAGCAGAGAGGGAGAGGGAAAACTTACAGGTAGTCATCTTCGTCGCCTTGATCATTATTTCCTCCATCATCTTTGTTCACTAGTCCTCTCTTTTCTTGCCTGGTTTTCCATTTTTCTACTCTCTCTTTCCATTCAGCATTGGTGTAAGCCTCTTTCTCACCATCAAAATCCTTACCAGCAACTGTATCCCCACCCATCACCAATTCAAATAACTACAATTAATTATCTGATAAATTTATACATAAAAACCCGAAAATATAAATAAAAGAAATTTGGTTACCGCTTCCTGCAAAGGAAGAGAAAGCAGGGTTGTTGTTCTGCCATTGCTGTGGATTATAGTCCCCATTTTCCTGAAAACACACCATGCCAACATGGTTTTAGTGTTCTCTTGCTTGTTAAATTCAAAACTAAATGGTATATATATATATATATATATATATATATATATAATTAATGAGTAAATTTAGGGATTCAACAGTTTAGATTATCTCCATTCTTTCCTCTCATTGTGTGTGTGTGATATATTTCAAAATGATAACATCTGATGGAATTAATCAAATTTTGAACTCAGTTTAACACTGCTCTTTTACCAAGCTATTCATTAGCAGTCAAAGTAATAACTAACATTTTCATTTAAAATTCCCAGGAAAAAAAATAAAAAATTTCTTCATATTGGTCTAATTCAATTTGTGTGAAATTTGTTTAAAGGTCCTACTAGAAAATTTAAGTATGATGTATTCAAATTAAAATACCGATTGATTAGTGACTTGCTGCCGATCTGGGGTATCATGGTGGTTCTTGATCTGAAATTCATCCTCAAAATCTTCTCCATCATAGTCTTCTTCGTCATCCCCTGCAACTCTAGGACAACCTGCAGCAAGAGAAAATATTAGAATCTATGAAACATCGTAGTTTGGTGGTTTTGATAGTTTCTTTAATGGACTGTTTGTTTTATTTTGCTAATTCCTATAATAGGATTTTCTTAATTGGCTTGTGATTAGGCTAGTTGTCTTTGCATTGCTGAGTTCCAAGGTTGGGGAATGCCATTGTACAGTTTCCTTTATTTTCATATAATTTACCTTTTATTGAAAAAAAATTAATTTTAAAAGGTGAAATATAATAGAAGAAATGACTTGTGATAGAAAATAACCAAAGAAAAAAAAAAGAATTCATGTGATTGATCTCGTTCACGTGGAATTAAGACAAAGACGATGATGATGTATGGGACATCAAAATCCATTCATTATAGATAGTTAGAAGGGGTCTTGTACTTTCTTATTCATTAATAAAATTTTATTTGCTAGGAAAAGTATGTCTTCCTTAATAACTGACGAACATCAGATATCAAAACAAAAAACAATTAAATACATTTTTTTCAAATTAAATGAGGTTATGACACAATTTGGAGTTCACACATTCGAAATAAAGAAACGGTCTCTCCACATGCAAAAGTAAGGCAATGATTAAACCGCGTACATAGGATTCGTCCTTTTACATTTTTCTCAATTAAGAATTAGTCGTCTACCAAAATTGTGGTAATACTCCTTAATTTAGAAGTATTTGTGCATTATATATATAAACATACAATCAACTCAAGATTTATGAATGTGATTATGTATGTATGTATATATATATAGAGAGAGAGAGAGAAAGAGAAGGTACCTTTGTGACGCTTATAGCGTGTGTTGCACTGAGGACAGCTTTGGTTCCCTTCGCTTCTCTCATACTCATAACAAGGCCTGCAGACCGGGAACGCACACACGTGGCACGCCACGAAAAGCTCACCATTTTCTTTCAATCCGATCTCATCGCCACAAACTCGACATATCTTTGACGCCACAGCATTGTCTCTTGGAGACCGAGGCTGTGTCAACAATCAATTGAACACACATTCACATATATTTAACAGAGAATTCAATAATTAATATATATGTGTGTGTATGTATGTATAGTATGAAACAAGAAAGATAGAAAATGAAGAAAACAAACAATGTACCTCATCAGTGCCATGCAAAACGTGAAGCTCATTGCGGCCATAAGAGCCTGCAACTAAGCCAGCCATGGCCAGAGAGGAGAGAGAGAAAGGGATTTGATGAGGGAGAGAGATAGGTAGGAGGGGTTTTAAGGAAATGAAGTTTTGTGTGTGTGTGTGTGTGTGTGTGTGTTGAGGCTACCAACTGATAGTTGGGAGGTCGTAGGTTGGATTGGAAGAGACGTTAATAGGATGGGTGTGGAGAGGGACAGTTTGCTTGTTCTTTTTTTGCCATTTTTTACTAAATTGGATGATTATGACCAAGAAATTTCAAAGAGACAAGGCCTAGATTGACTTTGACCTCACGTAAGTAAATTTTATATATATATAATTATTCATTGTGCAAACTATAAACCAACTAAAAAATAACTTTCCAAGTCGCCACTTTTTAGTTGGTTTAGATTTCATATTTTTATATATATGTATGTGTGTATCTTATTAAGTACAAATATAATCACACCCCACTTCATAGTTTGGTAGAAAGTAAATTAATCGCATACTTTTTTATCAATCCTATTCTGTCGTTTAAATGGATTTGATCAAGATAAAACTAACATTTTTTTTTATCACTTGTGGTCTCATTTAAGTTGCTTTGATTTGATTTTTTTTTGTTTTTTTTCCTTTTACGGTGACACCATTTTAGCATATATAACATGATCATGATTTGGTTGGTATGTCAATTATTTTTTTATGCTCAAAATGCATGAGTGTACATCAGCTTAAATTATTTCAAAAAATAAATAAAAAGGACTTCTAAATTAGAAAATTTTCGAGCTTGAAAATAATTGATGCATTTAATTTTTTTTTTTTTTTAAGGGGGATTCTCAGAGGAAAGAGCTTATACGGCCTACACTAATATCCATTATATCCTTAAAAGTAAATGTTTTTTTATTTTTATTTTTGACAAAAATTCCACTCATTTGTTTTTATAATTACTTGAGCCATTACATGGTATTTGGAGATGTAAAGAAAGTTTCTATAGAATTGGTATGTAGGATGTCTTATATTTGGAATACTATATCAAAGACCTTTAAGTAATTTGGAAGTTGGGAGGTCGAGACCATTCTTAGAGATTTATTTTTGGTAATTACTCGATGCATGTGATACAAAATTGCATCTCTCAAATAATAAATTATGAAGTGTTTTATGAGATTGAACATCATCATACTATATACATACATACATACATATATATATATATATATATATATATATATATGTATATCTATCTTGTACCGAAAGATGCCTAAAGTTGACGCTAACACTTTTCCTCTGTTATATGCCCCACTGACAGTGGGGCCCATGTTTCCATCCCGCTCTCTTCTACATGACCCACCCCTTTAAGCTCCATGTGTCCACAATAGTGATTGGGTCATGGTTTATTAATGAAATCCAGCTTTTCTACGGGGCATTACATTCTTATATTAAATTATTTAAGTACAACAAAAATAGTTAGGTATACCGGAAAAAGTTATGAGTTTCCCTCAAGTCTTGTGTTTAAACGATTTATAGGTGTTTCATGTGCAGGAAATATATATATATATATATATATATATATATATATATATATTTTCCCTAGTTTGCAGGAAATATATTTGCTTCAAGAGAAACCCGAAGAAAAAAAACAGGTCCCCAATTGAGCATGCTGCAAGGTTGCATGGATATTGTTTACATTGACCCCAAAAAAAAAAATTAATAATAAATAAAATGAGAAAATCAAATATGAACAAGGTTGTTAAATGGGCCGAATTAATAATGATAACCCAACTAGTTTGGCTCATGAAATCATGATCCCATGCTTAATCTTTTTCTTTTTGAAAAGTTTCATACTAATTTAATATAAGTAGGATAATAAAACACAAAAAAGTGAACAAAGATAATGAAAATTTTAAAATATATATAATATACATTTCACGAATATCAAACTAAGACAAGCCAATAGCGAAGTGGGTTCCATCCTCAAAGAGAGAGGGAACAGTTCGAGTTCATGCAGACGTAAATAAAAAAAGTGAGGTGGTAAATATGGCCATTTTTCATTAGCTTGTAATCTTATATATATAAGATTAATAGCTACAAATAGGTAATTTTTTAATTTCTGCTATATTATTAATTACCATTAATTGAAAGTAGCTTTGTAACAGGCAATGCATGAGAAAAAAACATATGATTAGCCGGCATAAAATTCTGTGTGGCTTCCAGAACCTCACAAACGACACACCACCAACCATTGATGGAGAAAATTTTACAAAAAATCAACAGAATTTCATTTCTAACCACAATGGACAACAACAGAAAGACCAAACATTAAGAGAAATATTAACATCTAACAAGTACCTTCTAACCGCAACATGGACCTTTTAACCTTTTTGATAGTAGCAGAAACAAAAATGGTGGTTGACCATCCCTAAATGTTTTCTACGATTCGGGACACGGGTGATACTGATATTTCTCCTTCCGTGGAAGTCATATAACAAGTCATCATGAGAAAATCAATCTACAGGTGGCCATGTTTGTTCTGTGCACCATGAAGGAAAAACATCAAAAGAGCTCTTGTTGTGCTTGCTTACCCACGAAATCGGCTAACAGGATTGCGGGTTGCTGTGATGTTGCTCAAATTTCCCAGTCTCCTTTGAAAATCTTGAAATATCTTCAGTGGCATTGCTTGTCTCCCTAATATGAATGAATCTTGACTTCAGATGTCTGTTAACAAGAAACCATCGAAGTCTACAAATTTATGAGGCATATACATAAATCTATTATATACTGTCTCCTCTACGATTAAAATGTTTTTAAATCGTTTTTAATTACTTCATTCCACGTTAGTTTTGGCCGTCCTGGTTTTCTCTGACCGTCTGTGCAAACTACTTTTCTCTTTTAAACGGGTGCATCAACGTGTCTACGTCCTATGTGTCCATACCACCTAAGTCTATTTTCTCTTGTTTCGTCACTAATAGGTGCTATGCCTAGAGTCTCCCTCACATTTTGATTAGTATCTCTTATCTTTTCTAGTCACTCATATCATCCACCTCAACATCCTCGTATACACAGATCTAAATATATGGACTAAATCAACAGTCAAAGAGGAGCAAGACAGGACTGGGTTGAGCACTACAATAGATATGTATGTACACAAACAATCTAGAACAATTGCATCATGCCTCATTTGGAAAAATAGTCATTCCTGGTGAAGCAAATTACATGCAGTTTGTTAAATTGTCAAGAAGACTAATCTTATGTACATGCCCCATGTAATCAATGGCGATGTAGAGGCTATTGTTAAAAACTCAACATCCGAGGACTCAAAAGTAGATACACTGTTGAAACTTAATACTGTGTCAGAATTCAGTGTTTCAAAAATATGATTAGATCATCTATAAGTCACCCCAGTTTTAAAAAATGATTAGATAATGATTGTGTAGAGCTGGATCAGATATGAGTACCGTTGCTTTGTTACGTAATTTTTAACTTTGATCATATTGTGTCGATCTCTGTGGGCTGGTGTGATGTGGGCGGGTGCGAGACATTGGACGAGGTTCCACACTAGCAGGCTACAGGGTGTCACGATCCCATATCACCTGGGAAATGTGAAGTCCTATATGTAAGGTTCAACACCCTTCTTTGACACAAAAGCGAAAAATATTATGTCTGAGTAGGGTGAGGGCCATTACACATGTAGTTGACATTTCAAACTACATATTTATGTATTTTAGTAAATAACACTTTTATGACACATTTACTCTTCTATTTTTATATGGGTATTGCATGCTCTATCTTTAATGTTTCCGTACTCTTTATACATTACGACAAGTTCTGGTTAATAATCCCAAAAATTTCCCTGCAGTCTGAGCAGACCCCTCATTTCCCACATTGTTAATTTGTTACACAACCCTACAGTGGGGTAATTAAACACAGGTCTTTTTTCGTTTCTTTTCTTTTCTTATTTTTTCCCCAACCCCAAAAAGAAAGCAAAAAGAAGAGCTATAGAAATTCTCAGAAGAAGATTTTCTGCATGCAATCTTTCTTGTTAAAGATACAGAATTAAAGGTAAGGACATCCAGCAATCAGCAATGCATGTAAGATGGACATTTACCAAATATTGACATGGTAATGAGTGACTTTCAAGCCACGTTTGCAGGACACATTACATGGGAGCCACGAACATGAAAGATGTGAAGGCACCAAATCCTCTCAGCAAGCTCACCTGGGAGAAAACCACACATTAAATGCTAGTTAGGTTGCTATGGATAATTCTCTATTCAAATATATAAAGCTAATGCATAGATTAAGTTGTATGAGTAAGAACTCTAAAAACCTTAGAAGACATTAAACATAATATATATATAAATAAAAAATAAATAAAATAAAAAAATAGAAAATAAAAAAAACCAGAAATATAGAAGGGGTAACAAGATTGTAAATAATTATTTGTTTGTGTTGATGGTAGAAATATAATCTAAAGAAGGCAGTCAGGGGTCCTCAAGTCCACTACACACACGGGCAGACAGGTTCTGAGAGAGAGAACTCACAGTCTTTGTGCTCCTTTCTATCTTGAATACAACTGCAGCATCTACAAGATTAACAGGAAAGGAAACATTGGCCCATGAGGATAGCAAAATTTTGTTTAGCAACATCATGAGAAAAGTGTAAGAAATTCAAAACCTAATTGTTGGAGAATCTCCTTTGAATTGACACTCCAATTCGCTTAGATATAATCTGAACAAGTGCGACCTGCAACCAAGATGGTCCAAATCTTTGGATTATAAAACATATTAGCATACTGGCGAAATGTACGCAATGCTTCTGATATAAGTTGAAAGAACTAAATTTCAGCAGGCATGCTGAGAATTCAATGAAAATTGGACTTGACCATTGTTCAAATTAGAGACATCTTCAGTCTTCACAATCACCAAGATGATGTAGTAATAATAATGGTATTTCTTGAAATTCAAAGATGCCCTTGTTTTAGACGAGTATTAAGAGAAAAACAAACTGAACATAATATCTTATTTCAATTCTTGATAATATTTTTTCAAATGAACATATTCAACTTTCATGTAAAATCTTAATGTCATGTCAGAAAAACAATGTGTACCATGAAGGAATTGCAGCTGCACCAAGGGCAGGAGATAGCTTCCACAGTTGATGAAGTTGACCAGCCAACAATTTCTCCAGATAATCGAGAATACCTTTTTCCTAGATTAAACCACCAGATTTGGAAGGGAAATGATAATAGTAATAATAAAACCAAATAAGTCAACTTATAATACTCTCTAGTACAATCTAGTAAAAAAAAAAAACTTATAATACTCTCTAGTACAATCTCCACAGCATGTAAACTTTAAAATCTGAACTGGAAGTTCAAATTCTCACTCTGGTATAGTGGTACGACTTCCAATTTAAGCAAATCAGTAATTGTTATTACCACACAACATCAACGTTATAATTATTGAAAAGCTGGTCCTGGCAGAAAAGAACCTAAGCCTATATAACTTAATAACACAATTTTCAAATAATATTAATAAGAGATATAGAATTAATAGTATCGCATATACACACACTTCTTAGAGCACAAGATAAAGAAATTTTGATTCAGTTTGTAAAAACCTTTACAACAATTTGTTGTATCTGTATATGGGGTTACATATCTGTCTTAGGCTAATCATATCTAATTATATTAAAGATTCAATCATATTAATTTCCAGATATTCCTTTGATGTCTATTAATCTCATAAGATCCATGTAGGATTCCAAGATACAATCAACTTAGAGATCAATGGATATAGGGTTCTCTTGATTAGCAAGCAGCATCTATCAAACTTGGCATTAAGATGAGTGAAAAAAGTAGTAAATAAGAAGACACAACTTAAGGCCCAATCTTGACTGAGAAAACAAAATAGTAAAACACAAAAACCAAGACAAAGTATAACGTTAATTAAAAACAGAAAGAATGGTTAGAGAAAAAATTATCAATATGCAATAAATAAACTACAAAAGGATGCAGTAATATCCAGAATATACATGCATCTTCATGTATGCTTCTAGTATGAAACGAGCTAAATTAACAAATAATTAGTTTTTAAGCATAATATATACCTTCAAATTTATCATTTCCTCTTTAGAGTAACGATTTTGAAATTTCACTTGGAGTAGATTGTGCACTTCATGGTATTGCTTTGAAATAGTGAGAGAATCCTTAGAAACTGACATAAAATGTTCAATTAAAGAATTCCATCTGCTTGCAATACATCCTAGTAACAGGAGCTCCTGCCATAATTCAGAGAGAGAGAGAGAAAGAAATTCATATTTGGAAAGAAGAACTGCTATCCAAAAGAAGAGTAGCTTAGTGGACCAAACTGAATTCACCACAGCGATGTTCACATGAAATTGCCATCCACTAATGTAACATCAAGAAACAAAGAATAATAACAGTATATCATATAATGAGCCACTAAGCAAGAAAGCATTTGATTTCCATTATTCATATAAAAAATGTTATTGTCATATGGGCATTCATCGGATCAACTTTATAATAAAGAAGCTATTTGTTCATTCTTGACGGGGTTGTGTCCCAACGAAAAAAAGTTGGCATTTATGCAACCTCCCACTTAAGCCAGATGGCTTCATATTTTCACAGAATTAAAAAGAAAAGCAACAAACCTTGTAGTATAAATTGTCAAACATTGTGTCATAAAGAAGGATTTTTAAGTTAGTAATAGATATAGGTCTCGACCTTACTTTAACTTCTGACAGTGAGAGTCTCGGAATAAACTTTAAAAAAAAAATCTGCCTCTCACATTGTTCACTTCTAGTCAATTCCAAAACAAAACCCAAAAGCAATTTTTGTAATGGTCCAAACTAATTAAAAGTTGCGGAGCATTTGTGTGGGAGAGGATCAAAGCCGACCAAAATTTAAAAAATTACCAAATCCATTGAAGATAATAATCATAGTTTTCAAAATGAACAGGAAGTAGGCAATGGCTGCTAGTTAAATATGTGTCAGTGTGATTGCCAAACATACATGTCATTTATTATGTATTACATTTTTTACATCACCTGAATCATCATCATTAAACATGTAACTTGAAATGTATTTCTAATTAAATCACTTTACTACTTCTGCTTGAGTTACAAGCTCACACCTCTGAGCTAGTGAATTAGACAATTTTAACCAGTTTGTTGCAAGATGGAAATTATAAACACAATGTTACATAAAGAAACGACAATTCATGGAAGTTCCTTTGGCAATGGATACACCAAAAAGAAATAAAAATAAAGGGAAAAAAGAAAAGACTTTAAGTCAATCATGCAGTTACCAAAGCCAGCAAACTACAAAAACATCAATGCATAAACCAATTCAATCTAGAACAAACAAGAGATTCACCTCCCTCTGCAAATCTAAGAAACAGTCTCACTTGACTTCAATGTGTTCATGATCAAAGGCAACATTAGTACAACATTCACAAACATCATAAACTGGCATCAAACCATGCACTCGCACACAAGCAAGAGAGAATTTTTTATCCAAAATATCCTACAAAAGAATAGTTTATATACAAACTCACTAATCTGAATTCTGAACATCTAGCAGACATTGGGAAACAATTCATAAAGGAAATAAATTGTTCCACAAGGCCTAAAACGCTTGAGGATTGTTCAACCTAATACTAATGAGCAATTAATCACCAAACCTTGTATATAGGTTACATGCCAGCAGCACCAAGGAGCAATTTTGCAGAAATTGACAACACTGCATGCAAGTTCATTAAAGTGCCAACATTTTCTGAACCCCTGAAAATGTAAAACATTTCTTATGTTGAAGGATTTAGATATTAAAGTTACTCCCTCTCTAAGCAAGGTCCCGTGTCCAAACCTCACCGTCACCCTAATAATTAAAATTGAAACACTTGTTGGACCAAAAGAAGGCCACACGTGAGGGGGCATGCTGAAGGATTTAAATAATAAAGTTACTCCCTCTCTAACAGCTTAAGGTTTCAGGGTAGATGGTGGTTAAGCATCTTACAATTTTATGTATTATTTTGTGAAATGATACTAAGACATGTCACAAAAGCATTGGAATTAAACAGCTCAATTCCCATATAATGGCATCATTTCTAAATTCAGTAGTCCATTAAGAGTGCAGATGTCTGCATTGTTTGCACTACCATATCATTCTTACAAACAACTTACGACATATTTAGTATACGTGTATGTAAGAATGGGTGGATGAATATATAAATTCATAATCATACTCACATTTATAGAACCCTATGATATTTTTACACACATATAAGTAGCTTCAAAAGTAATAATTGCCAGAAAACTTGAATCAACTTACGATTATTTCATGCAAATCACAATTACTGGAATCCACAGAAACTTTTAGCCTTTCTAACACATGAATCCATTGAATCTTAGGAGCAGAGAAAATCATGCTGGCACCTGAAACCAATCCAATAGTTCTCTTGTCAAGCAAATACGAAAGATTCCCTGATCTCCAGTGGTTCCACGTGACAGATTCTACCAATTCCTCTTCAGTCCTGAGTTCAATGGCCAAATATGTTTAGCTTGGGGCTTTCAGGACTAATCAAGAACCTTCCTCATTTTTTCATTGATAATGGAGGGTTTTTCCACTCCCTTTGGGTGTGGGACTGTACAAAAAAATCATACATATTGAGGGAGGGTCAACCAATTGCTCTTCAGTCCTGAGTTCAATGGCCAAATATGTTTAGCTTGGGGCTTTTAGGACTAATCAAGAACCATCCTCATTTTTTCATTGATAATGGAGGGTTTTTCCACTCCCTTTGGGTGTGGGACTGTGCAAAAAAATCATACATATTGAGGGAGGGTCATGATTAGGCCTGGAAAACCTGCTTATATTTAAGGAGAATCTCGACAAAAAAAGCAAATCAAAAAGACAAGTCACACAAATTATAGGTGGTGGGACGTCATGTGGAATTTGGATATGTCCATTCCTCTGTAATTGCATTTAGATTAGTATATTTGTTAATATTATAATATCAAATAATAGCCACAATTTATTTTCTCTTTAGTGATTATTGTTGCAACCACACCATACACAAAAAACTTTTTTTATAACTATCATTAGAAACGCGAGTTCAACCATCATACACCACAAAGTACAAATTTAAATGTTAAATTTCCATCAGATGCAGCAACTAATTGAGCAGAAAATCTGAAAAGAATGAAATATATGTGTCTATATATATATATATATATATATATATATATACCATCAGTCTTAACCATGCAACATTTGTTGTCATATCAATATTTTATTTTCCAGCCCGACAAGGTGTTCTGAAACAACTTCAATGAAAAAAGTTGACATTCATATTTCAATACCTTAGAACATGAGATACTAAAGCACAACACTAATTATTTCTATTCTTCATTCAAACGTAGACAGTCAACTGTTCCCTCTTTGTGGCAAATAACATGTGTGCTACTAATACATTGAATAAGTTCATAATTAGAGGGAGATTTTACAAATTAATAAATAGCCAAACAAAAGAATAGGCCAGCAACTCGGCGAGTGGATTGAGGGGTCAACTGGAGGTATAAAATTTCGACCCAAGCCTTACTCCAAGCCAAAGCTTATTTTCTAAACTCAATTTAAGCCGGGTTAGACTTCAGTTGGACGAGATAGGGTCAATTCAGACGAGTAGGAGTGTGAGACTAGGGCCTTGGGCATGTTAGGCTTGGACTCGGGTTATTTATATTTTAATAAAGTAATAATAAATAAGAATAATAACATAGGTCAGGTTCAAGTTCAACTCAGATTGCCTTAGAACTCTGTCCAACCCCAACCTGAATTTAGATCAGATTGAAATTTTGGAACCCAAGTGAAACTCAAGCAACAAAATGAGCTGCCCAAGCCCGTCCAAAGTTTGGTTAGGCCCACCCAAATTGCAACCCCGCATGGAATACCAAGTAAATCAAAGATTAATCAACCTCTAAGTCTTCCATATTGTGTTATACTGTTATGTAAATCCAGAAGAGAGAAGGGGGAAAAAAACTTACAGAGAAGCTGTGGCATGCTTTGATTGTTTCTTAAATAAGCTAATGTCTGAATCAGTCCATTTGGTTTGCCTTATAATCTTAGAGAGAATATCCAACCCAGTCTCCGCTGAGGATATGCATGACACTACCAATTGCCTCCTTCTGAGTTCTTGGATAGTAAACTTTGTAAACTCGCCACTAATGCAATCCTGAGTTTTCCTGTTTTGAATGTTTGGAGATGAAATTGTTGAGTCCTCCGAGAAATCCCTCGTATACAAAACTGGATCCCATGAGCTATTTTGCAGAATCAACTTCTCGAGATATACATGAAGGTAATCACTTTCTGTTCTCTGAAGCTCATCAAGATCCATCTCAATGGTTGCTAATATAGAAGCTCTGAGATGTGGATCCCTCATTGGTAGAGCATGGATCAGCTGTTTTACTACAAAATCCCTTGCTCTACTAAGTGTGACAGATGATAGATGTGCAAGACCCTGCATTTTTTTATTTTTTTTTTTGAAGGATTTTTTCATTGAAAATAAAGAAAAAGTAAAGAAAAAAAATTAACTACCAAAAAGAACCTTCTTATCTCAATGGCAAAAAGTTAAATAATCCCCTACCTGAGGGAAGTTTGGATTAGATGTCATTTCAGATAAAGCAGCATCAAGCTCCTTTACTGAGTCTTGGTAATCATCTAAGTGGCTCAAGCGCATAAATACCTAAACATTGCAATGAAAGAACATCATCTTAACCCTTCACTGGTTACCAGAATTCCAACAAACTTAAAAGAGAACTAGAAATTCACCTCAAATAGATGTCAATTAGAAATTAAAGCTAAAATCAGTAAATGGCAGCAACAAAATCGAAAATATATGCATCCCAATGATTTAATGCAGCAAACCAAATAAATGTGCTGCACCAGTGAACTCCAACATGTCAGATACAAAATCTTTTGGCGAATGATTAGGAGTTAAAGGGTTGCAACTCCCAGCCTTTTATTATCAATTATTCAAAAGATTCAACATTAAATTTTAGTGGAGAAAGTTACAACTTATAGAGAACCTACCTCCCAAGGACTAGAAGAAGTTGGACATCCATGATTTGCATTTGTGCCCTAGAAGCTACAAATTTGCAATATGCATAGACACAGGACAGAAGAACAATGAGAACAAAAACAAAAGTTTTCTCTAAGAGAAGGTATTATCATGGGTCGTAAAGATGACTCTATACAAAGAAGGTTATCAAGTAAGTTCATAAGATCCTTTCTAACCCCAACGTCTTTTGAAAGTGAAAATCCATTGATGAAGATATTGCTTCAAAGAAGAAATACGAACAAGGAAATTAGTTATATTCAATAAACAAAGGGTGTATCGGAATCAATTCAGCCAGATCAACAGATTATATTTAAGAAGCAAGAAAATAAACTGGTTTTGTGCAACTGACCATTAAATGTCCATTTTCAATGTACAATGCACTTCGCAGGAAACAACTAGGTATATACAGTATAATTTAGTAAGTAATTTGAGAACAGTAGAAATCAAAACATTCAACCAAACAAATTAAAATTTTGACATTTGGAGACGACCTGCCAGAGTTCAATTAATCAATAAGATACCAATTCACACATCAATAAGAAAAATTAATTTTTGACATTTGGTGACAACCTGCCAGAGTTCAATCAATCAAAGTTAAGCGGCAATTCACAAATCAAAATCTGGACACCAACTGTACACATCAATAAGAAAGTATTTTGGGGAAAAATAAAACCCAAAACTGAAGAATATCATTTCTAAATACACAAATGACACACCTTAAGACCAACCTAATACATTGTATCATCAAAATTACAGCTCAAAGCATGAAGAACTGAAGAAATCAGTATAAGCGTGTTTGTGTTCAATCAACCAATAAAGAGAAGAAAGCAACAGTGAAATAGAGAAAGGGTACTCACATTCTCAAAGAACAGACCCCATTGAAATACTTTCTTGATGTTTTGGGCGTCCCAGTGAGCAAGATTACCAGTTGATTGATACCCAGATGCCAAAATCAAGATGTCTACAAACCCTTTGATCAGTTTCAACAGATCTGTCAGTGATATGTCTGGGTGCGACCAACCCATCTTCTTCACTGGAAAGAAAGTCCAATTGGGTTTCAAGAGCTGATTGAAAAATAAGTGGTGAAGAAACGATAACAGGAAAATCCAATCCAGATTTTATGAGTTGATAATGAGGGCGCGAGAGAGGAGCTCGAGTTTAGATTTCCCGCCCTTGGAACATACCTCTAATAAAACCTTGGTAGTCTGCAAACTTGAAATTCTTTTTCTTTTTTTCTTTTTTCTAACTAGTAGCTTTTCTTTTTTTTCGTTTTTTTTTTAGAAGCTTGAGCAAATTCACACAATAAATTTTGTCAACTCAAACTCTAATCCTCACCTTTTATTTTTTTATTTTGTCGTTTAATTCCATGGCTTTGTTTGGATACAGTGGGAAAAAAAAATAATAATAATAATATTAGTCACGAGAGAACATAAATGAAATAAAATAATAATAATCTACACTTATGTTTGTATAGGTAGGAAAAGAAAATGAAATATTAGTATTCTTATTTGCTCAAGATAGAGGAGATAAAAGAGAAGAAAAGATACTAATCGAATTACTGTTATACTTTCCATCTATAATTTTGAAAATACTTTAATGTTATATTTTTGGAAACTAATTTTGACTTTATGAAAATGTCATTACCCACTCTCCGCTCTCTAAATCTTTTCATTTTTTTGTGGGAAGGGGGATTTGGAGTTATCCCTCCGAATCTTTATAGATCTTTTCTTTTCTTCTCAAATTCTCCCATCCAAATGCACCATTACTTGTCCTTTCTTTAACCTAAAATCACTAATATTAGTCAATATATATAGCGAAACTTTATTTATTTATTTTTTTGTTTTTAAAGTTTTCAATAGCATAACCTCTCCTCCCAATATAAAAAGATGGTGGCTTTGCATTTTTGAAATGGACATGAGGAAGATTGTTTTTAAGCCTTAATCAAACTGTCGCTAATGACCAATGAGCGCATGACACTTGGCTTGAATGCAAAAAAGGGAAAAGGTTCACCCATGATGCATTCCATCGGAAGAAAGTATGTGTTGCAATCTTATTGCTTGAGATTATTTATTTGCCACGTGGCAGCACACATGGCTTAAAAATGAGGAACAAGAGGAGAGAAAATGGTTTGCATAGCGTACATGGCAGCATCGAATTGGATGGGCTATGAAGAAAATTTTGAAAGACTCGACTGAACTGCAGGTACTCCATTAATAGAAAGACTTGGGAGCATTTGCAAGCCTACACTACTAGCACATTTTTTGACCTTATTTTACTTGCTGCACTCATCTTTCAATTCCTTAATAGTCTAGATTTACTTGTGAGCACTTCAAATTCCAGTTTATGAACTTCAATTCCTTAGTTAATGAAGTTCTTTTTTCAGTCCAGTCTTTCAATTCAACCCTTCAAATATTTTACTTGCTTTTAGTAGTTAAAATTTCTATCATTTTTCAATCCCCAAGTCCTTTTACTAGAAGGTAAAAAGAACTTTAGAATGTGGTCATTCTAGACTCTCAAAATGGTCTGAACCCTAATCTTCCACCATAACAATATTCTGCATCTCACTTGAATTCTGAAATGTCCGCTCTTCCACATACCAAAATATCTATGAGCCAAACACGTGTAACATTATCTATGTTACATGATTTCTGAAATTAATTTTTCCTATGAATAAATATGTTGCATGAATTTGGTGATATCATCTCACTCAATTTTTTTTTTTTTTTTTGTTTTGTTTTTGTTCTACTTTCTTTGGTCCTAGTGACACATGTTATGATATTTTAACATCATTTTTTTTTACTTTGTGGTTTCAATTATAGTTCACTAGCATTATCACATTTAACTGAGGGGTTACTTTTTTTATTCACTGTCAAAAATACACTTACCATTCGCCTCATTTTTTAATTAGTCGAATGGCATAAAAATTTCTTTTGACTTAGTGGGAGTATTTTAGTAAAAGTAAGTTCTTTGGTTGGTAGAAGGATTTTCTTTTCAGAAATAAATAAATAAAATAATAATTTATTACAAAAGCTACAAGTTTAAGGTTTTATGCAATTACTATTCTGAAATAGATTTATTACCAAATTCAAATTTGAATTCAAACATAGTTTCATTTAAAGTGATGATATATGATATAAACATTGCATTACATGTACAGCGATTCCAAGCTTTTGTTAATTAAATACACACCACCATATATTAACTCAATTGTTCTCATATTTGTCAGTTTTAGTTGAGATGATTGTACAAAACAAGAGACATTCATAGCAAAGAATGTAAATTGAATCAGAACAAACACGTTTCAAGCTTCAAAATATGGAGAAAATGTGGTAACTGAGAATAAAAGGAAGGATAGATCAATCTACCGTGAGAGTTAAGAATGCATTCTGATAAATGGTTAAATCTACTCTTTAGAATTCTCTACCAAAATATCCACATATTGAATAACTCTATAAAATTCTTACTTTTAGGAAATCAATAACAATATGGGTAGTTTTTTTTGTCAATACATACCAGCAACTTAACAATGCCGCAGGACTATTTAGGGCATTTAAAGTACCATCATCTCATAAAACAAATTTTTTGAAAATTATTCAGTGACTTAGTTGGTAGTTGGTAAAGTGCTTAAGGCTCCATTTGATTAGATAGAAATAGTAAGAAAAGAAATGGAAAATGAAGAGAAAATTGATTTTCTAGTATGTATTTGACTGGGAAGAAAATTTACTCAAGAAAATTATAAGAAATATCATATTATAATTTAGATACCTAAAATGCCCTTATTTTATAAAAATAATATAATAATAAAGAATTAATTAATAGTAATGTATAGAATAAAATGATGAGTTTTCAATTAATGCAAACTAGCATTTATTTAATTCATATGTGAAAACAACTAGAAATGGAAGCCAAGTTAATTAAAATCTTATCAATGATAAAATTATTGTTGGACTGCAATTGTTTGAATGTTGTTGGTCTTCAAATATCAATAAAGTTATTGGGTGATAAAAATAATATCAATAAAGTTGTTGGATAAAATAGGAACACAAAATAAAAATAAAGTCTAAGGGACGGTTTGATATGCTATTCAGCACTTAATACAGAACATGGTAAGCAAAATTTTAAAATTAGCGTGTTTGATAACATTTAGATTACCCCTTAAAATGTTAAAACTTGTCAAAATTTTAAGGCGTCACAGACTTTCTTAACGTCTTATCGCAGAAGACAGTAAGTGATTTTAGGTTTTAAAATATTTTGTTAATAACAAAAGTACCCTCAAATATTATATTTTTAGGTTCTCCATCACTTTTTCAACTCTTGAAATTAAACATATTGATGTTACCCTTGAAATTAAACAATGACTTTCTATTTCCACTTTCCATTTCTATTCTCTTCCGATGATTTTTTTTTTTTTTTTTTAATTTACTCCAATTGTTTCATTGTACTTTTCTTCTCAAATAATGGAAATATAAATAATATTCAACAAAATATATATATATAAACTGTATGGTTCACTCAAGTTTATAATCAACAATTATGATGCAAATCTACTATAAATAAAAATTGAATGATTTGTGTGTGAATTCTAATCTCCTTTGCATAAATATTTCATTTTCATAAGTTATTCATTTTATATGTTGATTTTGAAATTTTTATGATCAGTTTTGACATAAATATCCATTGTTAAATAGATATATTTCTTTAGTGAAATTCATTATTTTATAAATATGTTTATGTTTTAATATAATATCTTTTATAATAATATTATGTGTAAAACATATTCAAGGCAAAAATGTAATATAAACAACATTCAGATTTCAACTTTTACATTTAACAAACAATATTAATTAATTCAACGCTTAAAATTAATGTAATATCAAACAAGTTTACATATTAATATATTCAGCACTTAAAATTTTCAGTTTAGATGTTCTGGTGTTAAAGTCCCCCTCCCCTCAGGAAAAAAAAAAAATTTTATATATATATATACCAAACTTCCTCAATGTCACTCTACGAAAACTGCAAGTTCTATATTAAATTATATCTTAAATTATATTTAGTAAATAACTGCATTAGATTTAGTAGTAATAATAATAATAATAATAATAAGGTTTTAATACCATATCCATCTCACTTGTTTTCAAACCATATGGATTAGATTTTTAAATTGGGTGCCTCACTTTTTTTTTTATCATATGGCACATATATGTTCTGTGTATACACGTATATACATTTTATTTATGATATTCGCTTGATACTTTCAGCTCCAAATATATGTTCTATCTGAACAAAGAATTGGAATTCAATTCAAGTAAATACCAAAGTTGTTAACAAGACAATTGGTATTGGTATTGGAATTGGAATTGCAGTTCAACTCCACATGAGTTCCAAAGTTGGTCCAATTTGGAAATTGAAAATTGGAACTGATGAATTCCAATTCCATGGAATCGAAACTCCCACTCAATTCCAAAACTGTGCAACTGCACAAAACATAAGAATTTGTAGCGCTTACCTTCGTTGTGATGAATGTAAACATAGTGAATTTGTATGCCTACATTGTGAGGAATGAAAACATAGTGAATCAGAAGACAGACAGTTGAAGCTTCAAAATCCAAATGAAACACGAAACATGGAGAATGGAAGCAAGAATGGATCAATTTGTCTGCCAACATATATGCGCACTCTCCAAACCACCATATGCCACAACTGGTGCTTAAAGGAAAATGTAGCAAAAGAAAAACTTTCCACAAGCAGACACATTTAAACAGTGGTAAGAAATGAAGCAAAACAAAGCCCATTTAAGCATTATCATATTTGGTGTCTTAAACAACAGCTAGACTCCGAGTTCAAACAAAGCCCTATAGCCAATAGCGACCAAATCTATAAAACAAACCATCCAGTTCGAAACTTTAAAACAGACCAACAAAACTTTAAATCAATCTCCTAAACAGTACTTAAAACAGAGCAACAAAACTTTAGAATTCAATCTCCTAAACAATAGCGTTGGCAGCACTAGCAATCCTTGGCCACAAATCAGCACATTCCTTCCCTATTGGCCCCGTAATTGCAGATCCTATAAACACAGAAACGGCAAAAAATATAAGAGAAATAAGACTAGAAAGAAAAAATATTATACGAATGTAAACAATATAATGACAAAAGTTTATTTGTCTCCAATATTCTCAAGCATCCTGTTAGGATGGCGAGTACTGAGTAATAGCCTTTATAAGCAAAACGTTTTTTAGATAGGTGATATATGCAGATATTCATGGATCAGCTTCAAAAATGTTATTCCTTGCTGCATTTTAATTATATTTTGGGTCAAAAAAAAATCCATTTTGCAATTTGCTTCCAATATTAGTACTGTCATTCAATCAGATATGGTATCACAGAGAAACAGTACCTTTCATTTCTCCCTTGGGATTGACAATAACGCCGGCATTATCTGTGCAGATAGTGGAAACAAGAGTTAAAATAAAATTTATCTAAAAAATCATAACTGAATAAGAAAATATTTTATACTTGCGACTTTGAAAAAGAAATTGAAGTTAGAACCATGACATGTGATTTGACATTAAAATCACAATAAGTTAATTATAATCAATGAGTGGTTGCCTAGCCCACATAATGGTGCTGCTAGGGAAAGGGGATGACCTAAGTTAACGTGGGTAGAATAAGGAAGGATGTGCTAACAAGTGTCTTGATGAAGCCTATGCGATTGGATAGAACGGAATGGAAAAATATGATTGATGTATCTGACCCATATACTAAGAAAAAGGTTTTGTTGAGTTGGGTTAATGAGTGGTTGGCTCTGATACATATAGACTATAGAGATTATAATTTTATGCAAGTTGTAACCACCTTTCACTGTTTCAAACCCCCATCCTACCACATGCTACTGGGTTTCACCAGAAACATCGGGTAGCTATACAAAAACCTATGATGCCATTGCTTTAATAATCTGACACCATAATTTTCTCTGATGATAGAAGTTTTGCAACATGTCAGACTGTTCAAACAATTGGCATAAGCAGAATGACCATTAAGAGGGCCATATTATCTAATGTGCATCAAGACTTGAAACAAGAACACCTCCATATTTGAAGAAATGGAACAAGATTCACAACTTGAAGCAGTCATATGCAAATTTCAGAATTAAATTAAGAAAGGATACAATAAATTTGCTATTTGTTCCCCATACAACAGATTTCATTGATTTGAGACTCACCATTTCATAGCTAAAAGTTTAAAGTTTTAACAGTATAGATGAGTATAATCTAGCTACCAACATATTGACTAAAATGACAATTTAGTGCACATCTGCCTTAACAGCTGACAATTTATTAAATCAGGTTGGCTGAGTGAATCCAAAAGAAACATAACTACTACGATGGATATTAGCTAGGAAGCACGGATACTTCTACAAGTGTTACGTGACGTACCCGGATAAGCCTCGGATACTCACGAATAAAAATCCGGTACTTCCTAAACATATCAATGATTAAAATATATATTTTTATTTATAACATGTAACTGATACTTCTCAATAATATTTATAAACAAATCTTAAGAACAATATATATAACATAGACTATATTATTTAAATTTATGCATGAAGAAATATATATTTTTGTACACCTCTACATTTATAAAAGTATATATACTGTCCTTGTGTATCAATATCCTCTTTTTTAAGAATCTGTCATATCAACGGATCCATATCAGATCGTGTCCATATCCCATCTGTATCCATGCCGTACTAACTAATCCAATATGGTTGAGTAGTGAGCGTTAATAGTATAGATGAGATTACTGAATGAGGTTGGCTTCAAATTAGCAGGGTAAATTGTTAGCAGTATAGATGAGTATCATCCAGCTATCTGAATGTTAACGATAATGAGGATTAAGTCCTTCACAGTTTAAAATTTCCCAAATCAGGTTATATGAGTCAACTAACAGTCAACGTGTCTTCACTATGCATATATACAAGAATAATATCTAAAAAATTAGCAACCTTACCACTTGACAGATAAGATAATAAAGTTGATATAGTATTGATTGTTGATAGGTCATACCCATTGGGCATGGGCTGAAAATAGTAAGCTGAGATTGCAATCAGTCTACACCAACAATGTCAGCACTAGAAACATGTTCTAGTTCAGTTCTGTTGCTCTTAATGAGAAGACATCTTTTACATGGAAGGCATGGCATTTAAAAGGTGCCGGACTTTTCTAATACCACTAAGGAGTTCTATGAATTTCTAAACATTAAAATTCTTAATCGAACATTCATCAAGGCTAGAAATAAAAAAATTCAAAACCTCATTTACTTAAACTCTTCCTAGATCCTTTACAATAACAGGTAAACTAAATAAGTCAATGATAAACACATCCAACCGATAATATCCACCAGTATTAGCTCCACAGGGAATACGACAGAAATTTACCAGTAGACAGGTAACACAATGCAACTAAATAACATTCTGCTGTTTAAAACTGGCATTAGATTTTTAGTATATGCTTCCTGATATGAATGACCAATCGTTAAAATAGTCATTCATCAATTTCATCTATAAAAGAAGAAACTTATGAGAAAGGGATATCTACTGAACTGTATAAAGTAGTGACGAGAAAACTGAACAATGCAACAAGAATTCTAAAATAAAAGCATGGAAGAAAGACTCTTAGAATGCAACATCAAACCAAGGAAAGAGATTGGAGAGAGAGAGGAAACAATACCAATGTACACCTGAAACAACTGAATTAGATATTCATTCAAGTGTCACAATCTAAAATCACCAGCACAGAGTCCAGTTTTGATAGATGTAAAATAAAAATACCGTCTTAAAAAGTTAGTAACTTGAACAGAAATTCCATATCAGAATTTACAACCTTTTTTTTCGGAACTGGGGTATCACTAATCCCCAAGACACCGTGTAAAGCATACGGGTCGGTAAAGCTCGGGCATTCACCCGCGGGCGTAACCCCAAGGAATTATTTGCACTCAAGTGGGGTCGAACCTTAGACCTTGCTTCATGAGGCAGCAAGTCCAAGTGACCAACCACTTAAGCCAACCCCTTGGGGTTGATTTTACAACATCTGTGATGACATAATACTGTCATCTGTCATTGACAAACTAGAAATCAGTCTTTTTGCAGCTGCAAAGATAGAATGACCTTATGGTAGCATCCGAACTCCAATGGAAATAAATTCAAACACTATGATGTCATGCTGGAAGGAATTATCAAACAAATATGATGACATGCTAGTAGGGAAAACTATGTCAATGTGCTATGGACTAAGTGACTGAAGTTCATCCATAACATAAGAAAGTAAATTATAGAGAAGCTCCAATACTCAAATTTTAAAATACTTAAAATGAAAATGGAATATATGTGACTGTATAAATTACTTGTTCCAAGTGATAATCAAGCAAATGAATAAAAGACCACAATATCAAATAACCCGGAAGAACCAACCACTAATATAAACAGATAAAAACAATATAATCAATAAAAATGATGAGCAGAGAAAAAAAATTAAAATTGATTATAAAAAGAAAATTATCATAAAAATTTTACCTTCGAAGTACATATAGACACCGTCCTTTCGGCGCCAGGGCTTGCGTTGGCGGACAATGACGGCGGGCATGACCTTCTTCCTGAGATCTGGCTTCCCCTTCTTGACAGTGGCCATCACCATGTCACCAACACAAGCTGAAGGCAACCTATTGAGCCTTCCTTTGATTCCCTTCACCGATATGATGTACAGATTCTTGGCACCGGTGTTATCGGCGCAATTCACAGTCGCCGCCACCGGCAGACCCAGTGACATTCGGAACTTGTTCCCCGCGGAACCTCCGCGACCTGAAACACCAACAGAGAAAGATACAAAATCTTAGAAGTGATCGGATCTAATGAATTTATGGTTTGTTTGGTTTGCGAGAAAATTGTTGGGAAACAAAGAGAGAAATGAGAAGAAAGGGGGTCTTGACAAAACAATGAGTTGTCGATCAGCTCGTAGGAATTGGAAAACTTGAGATCGAGTCTTACCTCGCTTCGACATTGGATCGCCTCTCTCTCTCCTCTTTCTCTTTCTAAGCTAGAAGAATGTCTTCGGCGGCGACGATGTGTATTTATATGGGGATCAACTTTGTGTCTGAGGTAGGAGGTACTAGGGTTTTGTAGGAATTAAGAGAGTGTTTGGATATGATGTCGAACTTGTCCTTTTCAGGAATAATATCATGTCATCGGTTGGTATAACGCTTTTGCAGGACAAATGCCTTCCGAGTAATTTATTTACTCCCTATTTATTTAGTTTATTACTGTATATCTTTTGATTAGAAATTTACATTTTACCTCTCCCAATAAAAGTGAGAGAGGTATTTCGATGATAAATTTATATTTAAGATTGTCGTTATGAAATTTCATTGTAAAGTCATTTTCTTAACATAATATTAAAGAATTTCAGAAAAAAAAAAAAAAAAAAAATTATTTTCATAATTTTGGACCTCTTCTCATTCATTTTCACATCTTTCTTTTCTCAATAATTTAAAATACACACACATTCATGTTTCCACGGTCTTTTTTAAAAGGATGAGATTCAATACTGGATCAACTTTTTATTTCTCACATAATAGAAAAATTATATGCAAATATTTTTCTGAAAACTATTCACAAAAAAATATGATTACTGAGAAATTCAATTCTAGAGTTTTTTAAAAATTGTTTTAAGAAAATCATAGCAAACAGAATCTAAAAATTGCTAATTTAGAAAAAAACGCAAAGGTTGCATTCGCTGCTTATCAAGACTTTAATTTCATACAACCGAACCGAACATAGCTAAAAAAATCATTTCAATCATGACTCAAAATCCCATGAAAATGACAACAAAACGTAAAAATAAACTCCTTAATTTTCCTACCTTATGTTTGGAATGATCGAATTTGACATAATTTAGATTCTAAAATAGCATTCATATGGTTTGAAATGAACAAAATTGGAATTGGAATTAGATTCGACAAGAATTTCAAATTCCAAAATACAATATATTGAAATTCCATGAAAAGTGGTCACGTGACGTTTCCCATTTTTCCTATTTTCCAATTTCAGGGATCTTTCGATTTTTCTGATTATTTATTTTCTTCGCCTCGTTTTACGTGCTAGACATCGTAGGGTGTACCGGATGAGTTCTGAGAGTCAGTTGAGCATTTCTTTGAGTTTAGAACTCTTAGAAATACATCGTTTAACATTTCCGTATTTATCTTTTTCCGTTTTCGGGCAGGGAGGTCCTAAGCAGGACCTGCAACCAGCATTGTTGTGCACAGGGGTTGTGTTAGGGGGGCCATTATATTTTGTCCATTATTAATTGATGTATATTGATGTGGCTATGTGTTTAAACATGTGTTGTGGTATGTTTGGTGTATGTACATTTATATATTAAAGTTATCAGAGATATTTTTTTTAAAGCTGTGGGACCCGCATGACATTAGCCATTTTGATGCCCAAATGGTCATCACCAGACCATTCATCAGGTATTTCTCTCCACGCCAGTTCTCTCTCTACTCCCTTTTTTTTTTTCTCTCTTTTTTCTTTTTCTTTTTCTACCAATTCAAGTCTTGATCTCTCTCTACCCACTTGGAATTTGATGAGGTCATAGAAGGCAAAGTCGAAGAGTTCAACAAGATCTACAAATTGATCGGACCAAAGTTAGAATTGGGTGACCTTGGTGGAATTCGAAAATTAGGGTTTTTGCTTCAAATTGAGGTAGAGTTGTTTAATTATCATATTCCTTGAATTTAGTAGTTAATTTGCTGTCCCCCCCCCCCCCCCCCCCCCCCAGCATGTCAATTTGTGGTTTAATTAGATGGTTTAGTTTTAGGGTTTGGTTTATGCATGAGCTTTGTATAATTGATGTGATAAAGTGGTTATGTGATTGTCTTGAGTATAAATTGTAAATGACATGCTATGAAGTGGTTATGTGACGAATTGTACATTTTTCTTGTATGATCGTTTTATGACATTTTGATTATACACTGCTAGATGATGTTATAAGGTTAAAATATGCTAAGGTTGTTAAATTACTTTGTTGTGCCATGAAATTGTTATTGTATAATGAAGGCATGATGAAAAATTGAACGATTGAAATTACAGTAATCCATATGCATTGTATAAAGGCATTGATGGACTTAATAGTTATGAAGGTATAGAAGAGATGTGTGGATGTGTGAGAGTGTGGAAGTGATGTGTAGATACACGATGGTATGGACGGGATGTGTGAATATGCGAGGGTATGGTGTGACATGTGTTTGCATTGACATTTTATGCATTGCATTGTATGTGATGGTGGTGAGGATTACTTGCAAAGTTGAGTGTCGTATTTGAATCCCTCGCATGACCCCTTACTCATTTTCATATTCATTGTGTGTAAAGCATTGGATTACTTACCTTGTTTGAGGAATGCCACTTAAGCAATCTCTACTGAGCCATTGTGCTCACTCCTCTACATTTTTCAGGTCATGGGGTTGAGTTGGTAGATGTTGATCTTTCACGGGCATGGACGGGACTAGAAAAGATTTATTATTAGTCATTCTGTATTATGATATCTCTTTTGTAAAGTTTTCAGCTATTATATCTAATTGTTTTATTGTTGTAACTTGACAATGTACCTATATTTTAAAACAGCAGTTGCTGTATTTTGGATATGGCCATGGAAGCATGTAATAATTATGTTAGTATATTGGGATGAACGGGATGACTATGGGTTATTTTGGGTTAATTTCATTGATGATGATGACACAGGATGTATATTATTAATGTTGCCAGGTGATTATCTCTTTCGCACCAAGTATTCTTTGTGGGTTAGTTGACTACCATACAGACGCAGTCTATGTTGGGAAACGTGCAAGTTTTGAAAACTTTTTGAGAGATTTTCATACATAGATCTTGATTCATCACATAGAGATAAGTTTTATACAAAAATAAAATATGATGAATCATTCAATTTAGGGATTGAATACTTACATCAAATGTTTGAGTAAATATTTAAATCTTTCCTCTAAAGTGAATGTTCTCACTTATTGTAGATCCCTTTGCTATATGCATTCTACTAGGATCTGCATCTTCTCGATAATGGTTTTGCCATTAGGAATCACCCATAAGCTTCCATAAATGACCTTGGGAAACTAGGCTTGTGGGAGCGTCCATTAGATGAGAACATTAACCCTAAAAATCTAAAGAGATAAAATATATTATTTTTTTCTTCCAAAAGTCCCACCTAAAATATACATGAACCATATGTATATAGGCAATATAAAGATAAGGAAATGAAACAATAAATCTTTCTCAATATCTAATTACCATATCTCAAATGTAATAAGATTCTAATATCAAGTTGGGCTATGAGTGAGAATCCTTTGGGCCTATTATTTTCTTGGCTACAATGAATTAATAATTGGCCCGATTTATGGACCTAATTCAATTAATTCATAAATTAATTTCTATTCCACTAAAAAAAACTTAATTGAACTCCAATTAAATAATAAATAACCTCTAAATCAATGTTGCATTTTGACCCATTTATGCATAATTAGTTATCGGATAAATAAAGTTATCAATCCGACTACTTAATTAATATGCTTATTTTGGTACCTTTGATTATTTCCGGCTTGATTACAATAAAACATTTGTTTGACAAAAATAATAATTTAAATAAATAAATATATAATAAACCATTTTGTCTAAAAACACACGAAGGCCTTCGAATTTACTTTGTGATCAATCATAATCAATACAAAATAAATACAAGTAGCAATGATTCAAATATTGAAAATATAACCCTCTAACTATTAATTACATAATTACCTAAAGTGTCGGTCTAAGGATTCGGAAGATTCCGTCGAACAAATCAAAGTAATTACTAATTAATAAAAGAGTCTATACTTCTCTCATACTTAAGAGTCAAATGCCATGACGGCGATATGGAGTAATTGTATACGACGATTCTCGCAATATATCTCAACCTAACGCGGATCCAGTTCAAGTCTTAGTTAATAATGAGTTTATTCATAATTACCGACTATGAACAATTTATGATTACTATTTATATTTATGTATTGCTCGCCATCACATACATATATAGATATCTCTTGTAATCAAATGGACACTATCAATTCCATAATGAATCGAAACATAATATATTGAATTTACCAATTATATAAATCATAAATATTTCAGATATGTCTGGAACATTTGTCACTATAATCCAAATAGGAATTTGTTATGTCAGGACATATAAATCCCAACAATCTACTGGGGGTTAGTTGACTACCATATAGACGTAGTCTACTGGGGACTACCACACAGGGGTAGTCTACTGGGTGTTGTAAAATATATATATATATATATATATATATATATATATATATATATATATATATATATATTATTTTCTTTTCTTCATTTCATTTCTTGGCAATCCTTTAAGGGTTTCCTAGTATCCATTCACGCACAAGACCTTTATAATTAGGGTCATTCCACCAAAGTGTACTATAAGAATTAGTGAGGTGCAATAATTACTTTTTAGCATTAGAAATGACAAAAATGCCCTTAGATGACCTTAGGTTCGGGTAAGGACCCGAGTAATGATTCAGACCCTCAGGTTCAGGTCGTTACAGGTCGGAATTCATGAGATTTTAAATTTACTTATATTATGTTTGGAAGATCCCAAGTTGCCGTGGTTTGGATTCTAAAATGGAATTTATGTTGTTTGGAATGAATAAAATTAAATATGAAATTGGATTTGAGGGGATATCAAATCCCAAAATATAGTACTCATTAAAAAAGGTCAAATTTCACAAAGTTTACAATTTATGTAATTTCCGAAGGATTTGATTCCAACATAGTGTTAAGGGGTCTATGGCCTTTGGTACCATAAGTAAAAATTCAAGTCGAATAGCAAAAAGTAATTGATGATGTATTTTTTGAGAGAAATTTTTCCTTTTTTTTTTTGAGCCTTTAATCTTACAATTTTTTTAGTCTCCCCATGATACTCTTTTTGTTAATTTTCTTTTTGTGACCCTTTATCTTATTATTACATTTTTATTCTCTCCCGAGGATACAATTTTTCATAATTTCAGTCTCACAATCTCAATTGGTTGGTTCAGAGCTCAGATGCCAAAAGTCAAGGTCTACTTTGTTACCTGATTTTTCACAACTTTTCTTAGAAAATGAGTTAACTAGTTAAAAGAAAATAAATGTACCAACATCCCAGTGACTTAGCCATACGTGGCCCTTATTTTTCAAAGAGAGGTCAGAGATTTAAGTCTCGGTGGAAACATGTGTGTATAAGTACCAATTAAGAAAATAATAATAATAATAACATGATGGTAGAGAATTATTTTCTATAGGTTCTTTTAATACAATTTAGAATTGAAGAACTTGGCACTTAAGTATGGTTGTTTTCGGTGTTCTTCATTCTTCATCTCAGCAAGGGAGATAAGTTGATGGGCGTGGTAGATATAGAGGGTGAGGCGTTTGGTGGTGGTGGTGGCGGTCGAGTACTATATATATATATATATATATATATATCAAGGGAGGATATAGAGAGAAAGTGGGATGAAGGGTAATTTAGGTATTTAATTTTAGGACTTAAATCATAAAACCCCACTATTGCTTTAAAAATTGATCATAAAACCCCAACTTGTTTCCAAAAACCCTTTGACACTTTTAAAAAGTGATCACATTGCCCCAATATTCGAGTTTGACCCGTTAAATATGTTGTGAAATGTCGAATTTGACCTTGTTATTTAATGTTAAATTAAAACTTAAAAATTATATTTTTTAATGATGATTTTACCCTTTCATGCATAACACGCTACAGAAGGTATGCCCACAGGGGATAAAAGCCGCACCTTTATTCCTATTAATGCACACGCAACACAACACATCAATCCCACCTTTTTCGTTCCACTCCTCTCCATCCACACAGTCTGTTTTATTGAACAATCTCATCAGCGACCTCAACAACGTCATTGTGCGTCGTTCACACCCCTAACCACCATTCCACTCAATAAACACCACCATCACCACTGCGAGGGAGCCACAACCACCACCATCAAATTGGTGCCACCATCATCAAATTTATAATCGAAATCATAGAATTTGAAGCAATTGGGATCAAATTGGGATAAAAGAAGGACCAAATAGGTACATGGTGGCAACGATGAGGGTATTCAGTGATGAAGAAGGTGGGAAATTAGGGTTTCGATGGAAGGGGTAGATGGAGGTGGTGGTGGAAGCATTTAAAAATGGTGTTGCATGGTGACGGTGGCACCGGTGGTAGTTGTGAGGTATGAATAGTGGTGGCGGTTCCGGCGATGTAACCAATCTCACGCAGTTGGGTTTCGTTCCGACGACTAGGAATTGGGTTCCGGCGCCGCCCTCCTGGTTCACTTCGCCTTGAGTAAGGCTGTACTCTATGACTAGTACACAACACCAATGAAACGTGTTATTAAAACCACCACCCCTTTGCCTCGAAAGTTAGCAGTGAAGATTCGATCGAGATCGAGAAGAGAGGTGGATTTAAGGATGGTAGTGCGGTGGCCGCCTTTGGTTTGGGTTGTAGTGATAGGGTGATATTACTGTAATTAGGTTGTGTTTGGTAGTGTGAAGTGGTTATTGCGATAGGTGATGTGTTGTCACAATACTATTGGCTCTTCAGATTATATTTGTCACATGAGCAACAACAGGTACTTAAACAATAAAACGATAGCATTCCACTAAAAGGTAATTTTGTAATTTTAAAAAATTATTTTCAAATTTTAATTTAACATTAAATAGTAAGGTCAAATTTGTCATTTTACAACCCGGTTAACAGGTCGAATACATATATTGGGCAATGTGATCACTTTTTAAAAGTGTAAGAGTTTTTGGAAACAAGTTAGGATTTTATGATCAAATTTTAAAAATAGTGGGGGGTTCTATGATTTAAGCCCTTAATTTTATTAAGGGTGTTAAGGCAAAGTAAACTAAATTTGAAGGGTGTGTGATAACAATTTTTGCTTAGATTTAATTAGAGCAATAAAATCAAATCTCATAAGAGTATCAGAGCATTTAGCTGAGAGCAATAAAACCAAATCTCATGGGCAGAGCTTTTAAGTGTGATGGGTAGTTATAGAAATGATGATGTAAAATGAGGGAATTGTCAATGACACCCTTTATACTTGTGTATTAGTTTATAAAATAAGAATATATTCCTTCCCTTCCTTTAATCAAATAAAAAAATATGTTGCCTCATTTTTTTTTATTGTTTTTTAAACAAAAATCCAACCGGCCATTACAAGAGCATCAACAAACAACCAGGAAGCAAACATCAGCGAATACGAACCACATAAGCATCAAAAACGAAAAAACTTCAAAGAAACTAAACAATAAGCTAAGACATGACCACTGCCATGAGAACCCTAGCTTAAACAGTTTCTGTAGGAGTAGAACTCCCTGCACCAACTAATATAGCAATTTTTGTTACAAAGGACTGGGAGGAGTCAGAGGTAACAAAGTCGGTTAGTTGTATCCCCATCCTTCAGATGAGACAGAATTGACACTAGCCAGACTACGTGGCGGACTCAAAGAAGCCATCTGACTCACCTCACCACTTGCTACACCCTTAAGTTGCTTATTCCCCTAAATCTGAGCCGCAGACGAACCACTCGAGACTGTATTTCGACGTTTGCAACCCCTCCTAACCATAGTAGATTCCTGACTATTGAAAGTGGCGGATGAATCAGATCGAGTCCCTATACCCCGAGCTAACTTCACTTTTCCTTTCTTCCTTCCTTTTGCCATTAGGTCCCACCTCTCCAATGGTAAAATTCGACCTTTAATGGGGGACATAACTGGATCAGAATTGATCTTATCCTCCACCCGCATCGATTCAACATGACTTTGAGAAGAAGAACCCCTAATCAGACCCACTTCAGGAGCAGGAATTTGGTCCCCACCAGGAGTAAAAGAGGAAGAACAAAAGCCCTAGTAGACCCTTCCCCATGACCATCTCCACCTACGAACCTATTCGGAATACCCACACTGGACAAGGCAACCACTGCATGTTGCATGTTAAGCGACTGGTTAAAGGAAGGAAGACCCAAAGGTCTCACATAAATCTCACGAGATTCACTAGGCCAGTCCTTCTCTTCCTTTTAATCGAAAAAAAAAATAATGTCGCCTCATTTGTCATTTAGAGCATTTTACACCATCACTTCCACTCATCAAACAAAAACCTAAAATCTTTTTCTTTCATCACCCATCCCACCTCGTCTTCCTTCGATCCTTAAGTTACGTAATTCTTTTCAATGAATGTCATTCACGCGTTATGAATGCAGTGTGCTCTCTCACATTCATTTTCACTCTGTGTAATTTAAATTATTCCGTTCTCGCTTTCACTTTCGTCACTTGCGACTCGCGTTGATTTGTACCAGCCATAATCGGGCCAAATTTTATTTACCAGGCCCATCACCATCAAACAAGTTAGGCCGAAATTAGGCCCAATTGAAAAGGCGACCAAAACGTGTCCATTCGAAGCGGATAAAGCGTGCAACGGCGAAACCGCAGTGTGGGGCCACGTGTCCAAGACAGTTTTGGCACTCATAGTCTCCCATCTCTCAACCACGCGCCCGTGTATCCACTCTCCTACGTACTGACGTGACTATGTTTGGTAGAAAATCAAATTATATCAACTAAATAAAGCAATTAACGCTAGATTTGAGCATGAGATAATTCTCACGAGTAACGGACTTGGAAGGGTCCACTGTGTTCTGTAATGGTTTCCGATATTTCTGTGTCTATATATATACACAGTACTTACTATATTAAATGCTTGTTGCTCAACAAAGAAAAGAAGAGAGAGAAAGTGTAGAGAGAGAGAGGGGGAGGAGTGAGAGTCGGCGCTTTCCTCCATTGCACACATCTCAAGCACCACTCTAATTTATAGAGCATCTATGTTTATGGGTATATATGTATATGGGCGTGAAATTGATCTCTTGTAACGGTTGTTTTTGATGGTGTAGTGGAGGAGGAGAGGGTTGTGATCCTCGTTTTCTGCTTTGGAGATTGGGGATAATACCCAAATGGATTACAACAATGACAAGTATGTGTTGACCTCTATTTCTCTTGATTTTCGGCTTTTGGTTTCTGGGTTTTTTATTGATGGATTTGTTATAGAAATGTGTGTGTTTTTTTTGGGTATTTGTGAATTTCTTTTGACTGAAATGCTGGGTTTATGGGACGAGTTTGCTTGATTTTATGAATTCTCTTCTGGGTTTCGTTTGATTATAGTCCGATTACAAAGCAAAAAATCAGTGTTAGAGTGTAGATTTTGATTCAATGATTGGGTCAATGTTTTTTTTTTTTTTAATGATATATTTTTAATTTAGTTTTTATTAGGCTCAGGGTTAGCAAATTTGTCTAAACACAGATAAACGATCACCTTCCATTTAATTCAGATATGTACTCTCTCTCTCACACACACATACACACTCTCTCTGTAACACACACACACACAAACAGATCTGATTGCTGAATTCATTCCCTTTTTCATGCATTTGAAGTTTCTGGAGGACCTGACTCAGTGTCCCTTTAGTATCCGCTTAATGTTCTGATTTCTCCTAGTAACTGGATCCACTACTACTCTTGCCCTTATTATGTGGTTTATTAAGTTTGTATAGTTCTTTCTTTTTGTTGTCATCCCATTGAATCATTATTAGTATTGTTTTTGTCTTTGTTGGTTCATAGGTTGTATTTTTCCCTTTTATTTATTTTATTCTTTTGAACCAATTCATTCTCTATATGTCACTACAATGGAGCAAATTTATTAGTTTATGGCCTGAAGATTGCTTGATTTTTTATTTTTTAACTTTATATGCGTAAATTTTATTTTTTAACTTTTTTTTATTTTTTTTATTTTAATGTGTGAAATGCAGTGAGATGTGGGATTGGCAGGGAGAGGATTATTGTCTCCCGAAGGGTACAACTAATCTTGGTGAGTTTGGCTTTGGATTTTGATATATTAGTAAGTCACGTACTCGAACGAGTTGCTAATGTTGAATGGCTCTAATTGTTGAGAGCAGACATGTCTCAATGCATATGGGATGGAGTGAGCCAGAATGGAGACCTTTCCTACATATTTGATGAAACTACCCCGATTAAGGAGTGTGGGGATATGGCTTACCATGTTACTGACAGTGGTAGTTTTTTAGTTATTCCTTCCTTCCCAAAATATGTCGATGTTAGCTTCTAATTGTTAGTGAAATTCGAAGGACAATATTTGATTTGAAGAGTTGAATTGCAGAAAACATGAACAAGGAGTCAGGACAATGCAGGGAAACTTCTTCACAAATAAAGAGGCGCCGAATGCTACAGTTTGACGACCAAATCTTGGATATTCCCATTTGCAATGAGGAGATGTCGTCCACGTTCTTAAAATCAAAGGTTGGTACCAAACTACCATTTCCTTGTTGAAACTTGAATTTGTGACATTGAACCGTAATGCACTGTCTGCAAAATGTGTTTATATTGATTATTACAAAAGTTATTGTGCAGGTTTATGCCTTATGTTTTATCATGAATTTTTTTTTTAACAAGCTGAAAAGAACTTCTTGTACACCTCATAGTACATGCATATCTCTTTTATATTTATTTATGTATCTCTTGAAATAGTTTAGATTTGGTTTGCGCTAATTAACTGATCAGTTGTTCTTTTATTTTATTATGCATACATAATTCATCAAGTCAGGTACAAGCTCTGGTGTTTTTAGTTACCAATTCATGGATTGGAATTACTTGTTAGTTCTTTGTTTGTGATATGGAATTAATTTCTATAAAATCATTTTACGTGTGCCATGGCTGGTGCTTAGGACTGTGTTATTGGTTTTATGTTTAGGAGAGGGATGATTCAATTGAAGGGGCTTTATCTGATATGTCGCAGTGGGTTTCAGGGTTTGCAGGTTTGTCTCTTGTAAACTCAGTTCTGACATGTATAAGAATTCAATGTTTATATGGGGGTCTTTAGTAATAATTTATTGTGTATCAGAAGAGGTATCTGCATCTGGTTACAAGGGCCCGGATCAGTCATCTGAGGGGTGGCTGGATTGCTTGAATGATGCTGAGATGCAATTCAGCCCTGATGATATGTATGCTTTCTTTTTCTTTTATCCTTCAACTTGCATTTCAAATCAGTACTATTTTCTCTATAAATTGACTCCTTAATATGTGCAACAAAGGAATCTGTCTGAGGCATCCGATGTTCAAATTGACATTACAGGTACGTTACCTCTGTCCAATTATGTTTTCTGATTTTTTTTCCCCTTCATTTCCTTGACATTTATTTTAGTCCATAAATGTCATCCAACACGTGAATCTGTCTTGGGCATCATCTCTTCTTTTATTTTTCTTTCTTCATTTCTTAATATTTACATTAGTCTGTAACATTAGTTCACTTGTGCAGAGTTCTGCAACAACACAACTGAATATGATGCTAATATGGTCCAGGAACGTCCCTCTCGAACTCGACGAAATGGCGTTTTTAAAGGTTCTCTCTCTTCTCAATTTTCTCTTTGTTCGCTTATATTGATTAAACTCAAAAGCTGCTATAGATCCTGGAGTCTTCATGGAAACTTCCCAGTTAAGGTCACTTTAATACCAAAAAGCATCCTGATAATGTCCATGGATCTGCACTGTCAATAATGTTTATCTTCAACATAATAAACACATAAACTTCATATAGTTGAGCTTATTTCACTTAACATCAATGGTTTCGTTTTCAATACTTAGGTAGGAAGTCATACATTCGAACTCCCACAAAGTTGGCTTCTTCTGTTGCCTATCCCTTTGCCTTCGTTAAACCATGTGGTGTCCATGGAGATGTAACCTTAAAGGACATAAACCAGAAGATACGCACTCCACCACCATCAACATTGAAGCAAAGTAAAGAAGATCCATCTTCTTTTCCCACGTCAGCATTTTCTGGGAAGCCTGTCGTTGGTAAAACTAAAATTCGCACCGAAGGAGGAAAAGGCTGCATCACAATCATGAGAACAAAAGGCTGAGTAGATTAGTGCCCCTTAAATTTTCCTTTTTGTTGCTTTGCTCCATTACTTTTGAGGTCGAGTTTCTATGTATCATCCTGGGGCCACCTAATATAGAAGTTACTGCTTCATTGTTAGGTCGGTGTTATTCTTAGGAGTTTATTGTTAATCATGTGAAATGTTCATATTTCCTGGTGGTTTTCTAGGTAAGAAATACTTGTTGTTTTGTTGGGACTGATTCAGAAATACCTGATTCCAATGAGGACCTTGCGTCTGAGAGATCCTCCTACCTTCTTTTGTCTTTAGAAAAACTTTGTTAATGCTTTTGCCTAATTTCTTTAATGCAAAGCCTGTGTTTTATTGGTATCTTGTGCTGCTTAGTCCTCTTCTTTTTTACATATTACTTATTCTTTCTTGATTTTGTGTGGCATGGTTGATTTGGTAACTGAATATTGAGCGTGCTAATAAATGAGACTCAAAGAAATGAATTTCCGGATTTTAGTATGGTTTGATTCATTTTAGTTCCGTGTACGGTTCTTGGGAGCTTTAAACTAAAGAATGGCAACAGTAACATCTTGGGAGGAATTTTGTATCTTACAAAGCCACATGAGGTATCAGTGGTTGAGAAATTTCTCTCATTTTCTGCTGTTTGGTTTCATATAAGTAGAGGGCATGTACAGAATTTAGAACACAAGCTAATTTGACTTCTTGCACAAACATGTGTAATGGACCATTCTTTTTTGCCTTTTCTGTTCATGCAAACTATAGTTTCAAATATGTTATGAGTATAATGCATATATTGATGTGCAGTTGTGTTAATGGGCTTCTCTTACTTGTTACATCAATCATTTCTAATTGTTGATCTATATCTATATGCTGAATTTGTCTGATGGTAGATGTACATAAGCTGCGGGATAATTATTTTATTTTTGTATTTTCATGTTTTAGTGTGTGTGCATCTTCATTATTTTATTTGTTGTTTGCTGACTTGCCTCTCCCCCTTATTAGTTTGAGTCTGTGCTGCTGAGCGTAAAATATTTTTTTTGACAGTAAAACCTGAAGTGCTTCCCCTCCCTTATTAGTGTTTGTACGTCTACATTATATTGATTATCCTCAGTAATGTCTTGGAGGATTTGGTGCTTTAATATGCTGCGCCAAATTCCTTAATGCTGATGAAAGAATTTTGCTTTTGCTTTTATTGGTAGACGGATAAGTTGAAACATCGACTCATCCTCACATGCATACTTTTGCCTACAAGCACATTCTTTGATGAGGGAAATTCAGAGTTTTCTCCCATCAGAATGAACGTCTTCGAAATACACGAGGTAAGTTTAAAATTTTTGAGGTAACTTTTGTAACAAAAGACCGTAAGATAGAGATTTTCAGCTTACTTATTAAAAAATAAAAAATAATATAGAGATGTTCAGCTCTTTAGGTTAAAAACCTTAGGTTTCTGTGTATTAAAGGTGAGTTTTACTAGTGTATCAATTCAACCAATTTGTTCATTAGTTTTTTTTTATTCAGTTTAGTTTTGAGTTCAGGTACTCACAACCACTATTCTTGTCAAATGTTAGGGCCCTGATGAGGTATTTATTTCGACGCATTGGTTATAGAATTTAAACTATAGTTAAAACATGAAGGAATATAAGTTTTACTGTCATTCCTTGATCAAAATTGTAAGTTCTTGTGGAAAGAGTGATGATGCTGTTAGATGTGGAAGGTATCCTTGTTATTGCAATGTTTAACTGTATGCAGAAATAGTTGAAGCATGGGTAAATAAAAAGAGTAATGCTATTAATGCCGAAGAGTTTGAACGAAATGGGGAGTTGAAGACTCCCCATTTCATGGATACAACACAATTGGATTCCTGGGGCTCTTAGTTGAGTGTATCTAACGGATATGGGATACGGAGTTTTCGGCTCTCCATTTCATTTAAACTCTTTGGACTTTAAAATCATTATCGAGTTAAAAATGGAAGCTTTTAGTTTTGTTGTTCATTAGTACAGTTACCTTGGGAATGGAATCGAGTTGTGGCAGGCTTGCTTGGTGACCAGCTTTAAGAGAAAGTAAAAAGTGAAAGATTGTTGAAGGAAGTAAAGGCCTGTCATGAACCCTCATGCTCTTCCACTTTCTTTGCCTGTATTGTTGAGTGTAAAGTTAAAGCTGTTTTCTCATGATGGAGATATGGGCATTTGATATTATAATGCTTTGGAAGCATGCAGCTCTTATTTTTAATCATAGGATGATGTTCAGCTTCGATCTCCATAAAATTTAGAATGTTAAAATCGGAATGTCGGGTTTGATTGGTTTGTTACTCGGAACATAGTTTTCGGCGTTAAGAAAACAGGTAACTATTTTTAGAGAACTATAAAGGACAAATCTCTTAAACAAGAGCCTTCTTGAGAACAATCGTTTATAATTATCTGGAAGTAGAGGGTCTGTTTGGTTTGTAACTATGAAAATAGTTTTCTAACTCTGTTTGGTTCAGTTTTAAAAAAAAAAAAAAAAAAACTGTTTTCTAAAAACCCAGTTATAAAAATACTCGTTTTTAGATAACTGTAAAAAAAATTGTTGTCTAAGAGTAATTTTTTGTTTTATGAGTTCTTAAGAAGTGTTTTCAAAGTTACAAACGTTATAAGTAATAAGTAATTTTTTGTTAGGTAATAATATTGTTTAAAATACTTCTATTATTAATTTTACAATAATCTTCTGTAATGGAGTATTCTAATATGTAGTAATAGTAGTCCTTTATATGTCTTTATAAAAATAAATAAAAAAAATTAATAAAAAAAAGAAGACAAAATTGTCTAAGGCCTCGTTTGGATTGAGAGAATTGGAGAGATTTGGAGAGAAAAGAAAGGGAAGGATAGAGTTTAGTGTGTTTGGGTGGAGAGAATTGAGAAGAAAAGAAATGATTGGAAAAGATTTGGAGGGATAGGCTATCCCTCCAAATCCCTTCAACAGTGTGAAACCAAATCCCTCCAAAATTGACTAGATTTGGAGGGATTTGGAGAGAAATGGTTCTACTGACAAAAATAGCCTTGAGAGAGAGAGCTTGAGGAGAGTTGAGAGAAAGGGGCCGGCTGAAGCTTAAGAACGGCGACTGAACTGGAACGGCGACCGAAGTGAATATATATATATATATATATATATATATATATATATATATATATGTATCATTTCAATCAATCGTTGAAAAAATATAAAAACACCTGAAATTCAACACATATATTCAATACTGAATTGAAACAGCGATGAATGGAACTAAACTCAATCTTGATCTTGCAAGGGCCACAATCGGGCGACGAAGGCTTCAAGATAAGGGGAGATTTGAGCGTGGAATTGACGGTGGTTTCGGAGTCGATCGGAGAATCTGAAGAGTCGAAGGTGATAGAAGAATCCAGAGAGCCATGAGTAATTGTCCAATTCGCTTCGGAGCTCCATGAATTGACGTGAGATATTTCCATTGTTTCTACTCTCTCTCTCTCTATCTTTTGAATTTCGATTGGTTCAAGTAGGAGTGTTGTGACTTCTGAATTTTCTTCTTCTGATATAGGGCTTGAGTTAACGAATTTTCTTTTAATATCTTGTGATATATATCTAATAATAATAATAATAGAAAAACACATTTGGAAGATTGAACATCCATTTAGAGAGAGAGAGAGAGAGAGAGAGAGGGGGGCTGAGAACGAGAATAGAGATGGAGGCTATTGGGGGAGGTTGAAATGATTTGCCCTATTCAGGTAAGATGAAATTAGGGTTTACAAAGGGAAAGAGAAAAAGGGGTAAGATGGTAAATTATTATTTTCTTTCTTTTCTTTTCCATTCATCCAAACAAAAATATTACCCATTCCTTTCTTTTCTTTCCTATCCATCCAAACATGAATATTATTATCTCTATCCCTTCCTTTCTTTTCTTTTCTTTTCTTTTCTCATATAATCATTCCCTTTCTTTTCTCTCCTGTGTATCCAAACGAAGCCTAAAGGAATGAGAAAAAAACAGTAACTTAAAATATAAAAACTCTTCTTGAAGTGGTGACGTTCAAAGTACATTATTCCAATTCTTTATGAATTCAAAGTACAATTAATGTTTTTTATTTTTATTTTTAATGTTTTCTTGTCCTTAGAAAGTGCAATGATACTGTTTATCACATGTATACGCTTTAACCAACAACAAGTGGGCCCACTTAAAGCCCTTTGTTGAATATGAACTTCGCATTTATCACATGTACACGCTTTCTAGTTTATTTCGCATTTTAATGACGGTCAAGCTTGTCAATTGAATAGAAAATAAGTTGTTAATTCTTGATGTTGTTTAGCATTGTTGAACCCTTCACATTTTATTTTGAAAGTTGGAAAAGAACAATTAGACTATAGCCTTCTGGTAATATAGGATCGTATTGGATTATATTTTTCACATTTAAATGTTACATTGACATGTTGTTTTGGATTTGGATATCAGTAATTGAGTTACATATTTGAACCCTCCCAAACTCGTAACACTGGGAGTTTCGCGCGTTAAATTAGTCCATTTTTCCAGAGCTACACGTTTGAGACTCTTTTTTAAAGAAAATTTGGCATCATTAGCCTCCAGCCTTTAGGATTGTGGGGCTCAAATTTGGTTGGATAGGACAATCATGTAACACATTGGTTACGGTTATGGGTTCATTAGAGAGGGAGTTATTTATCCATGTGTTAGGAACTTTGGATAGGCACGATACGACGAGTACAACATGATACGAATATGAGGATATGATAAATAATATTACAAAAAATAAAATTTAATTTTTTTTTAATAAAAACATACACATAAGGGGATTTCTCCACTTTTTTTTTATTTTTTTATTTTTATTCTTCTATTTTTTTTTTCTCTTTTAATTCTTCTTTGGGCTGTCTCTCTAATTAATTTTCCTTACATTTTGATATTAAAATGTGAATATTCCTTGATATTAGAAATATTCCTTGGCGTATACGTCTCAAACCATGTCCTTGCCATATACGTCTCAAAAAAGTAATCATTTTAAAATGTGAATATTTCTAGTCTCATCCGACGTGTGTCGGCCATATTCTCAGCGTGTTTGTATTCTCGACGTGTCCAATACTGTCATGACACCTTCGACACAGTATTAAACAGGTTATTTCACACCCTAATTCAAATGTAATCCAATTCAACCTTCAACAAATCCACAGTCAAATCTTCAATCTCCAATTGAGAAATTCAATTTAAAATACATGGTGGATTTAGGTTGCCAACAATTTTTGTTAGGAGGGAGATAAGAGAGAAGGTATAGAGCAACTCTCCATCATTTGGGTTGCGTTTGTTTCAATGTAACATATTTAGGTTGCCAACAATTTTTGTTAGGAGG